AAATAAGTAACACTACATCTTTATGGAGGCTTAAAAAGCACTATTCAGTAGCTCTTTCCTCCACCTTCCAAGATGTAAATGATTGCTAATAAGCCCACATAACATAAAAATGGACCTTGCTGTTTTCTGCAATTCACAGTTAATGATTACAAAGGTCGGTTTTAAAGACAATATCAAAGAAAGCTGCCCCAGATGAGGACTTCATTCTTGAAAATGTTGGAGTTCTGAAGAAGTCTCATTTTAACTTAGTGAAACTCTATCAAAGGACTTCCTAAACTGTTGGTGAAGGGGGAGGGGGCGGGGGGGGGGGAGCAAATGGTATGATGAAACTTTCAGTTTGACTCATGGCTGTATCTGAAATAGTAAAGGTGGCCCAATACATTTTTATTTATTATATCAGTGATGAGAGAGAAGAATGACAAGCCAAAGAACTAGTTAGTCAGTTTCATCTCCAAAGTTCATCCTCAATTATTAAAATATTTAACAACACTTTATTTAAAATCTACCATCCAACTAGTTCTGTGCTCCATGCAGTGAAAATCAGATTTGTAGAAAGCTGCAGAGAAGCAATACATCATCTTTATACCTGGTGACATGCTAAGCTTTGATCTTTCAGTCTGCCTTAGGCTAGGATCAGAAAGAGGGGACCAAAGCCAGAGCCTTTAGTTTCATGGACTGTTTTGATTCAAGTTATGGGGATACACTGATCCACTCGGTTAGTCACATCTTTTCATCTGTCTGCAGTGTCAGTTAGACAGAAATGAGAAAAAAAAATCTTTTAATTTTTGTCCAAATACCATTAAAACCCATCACTTGAAAAGTATCCTTAGAATAAAAATCAAATGTAAGATAAAAACCAAGAACAACTTAAGCTGGATCACCACAGAAGAGGAAAAATAAGAAATTGCTCCTAAGTGCTGTCCATCCATGCAAATTTTTAACTGCTCATTCTGCATATTTAAAACACATATTAAGAATTCAAGATTTCTTCACTAACAAAAGTCCCCATAGCCATTTGCCTATGGTTACTTTCCTTTATAAAATGCACATGCATAGATTGCCTTTAAGACTTCCTATGAACAGCCTATGCCAAGCATCAGAGACTCAAGCCTAACATCTAGTTAAAATGATGTCTACGGTCATAGACCTGATTCTTTTCACAGTGAGTTCCAAAGCCCTTTTTTCCCTGATATTGTTTACTATAACCTTGCTGTAAACTAGTTCAGACTGTCAGATATAATTCTCCCATTCTCCCAATGGTCCCACACCAGCATCTTTGGAGTTTTTGCAGCAAGTGGGTGGAAGACAGAAGACGAATTTCAACAAGGAAAATTAATTGAAACCCACCCAGCACAGAAACAACTGTACTTCTCCTAAGCCATGCTTTTCAATTGCAAAACTTCTCCCAAAGCCTATGTGGACAGGTTTACTGGGAAAAACAAACCAAAACCAAACCAAACCAAAATCAACACTTCTGAGTAAATTTTCATGGACTTCGGTTGATTACAGGAATACACTTCTTGTTATAATTTTTCACTGTAATTTCTGCTCCTAAATCCCTTAGGCCCATTTTCAAACAGCTGATTTATTATGATTGTGTTTTCCATTCCAAAGAACATATATGAAAAGGCAGCAATACCAACAACTGAAGAACTGTTTGCAAACTTAATCTCCATTTTCTTAAAATCAGGCATTGCTATGACAACATACTACTACCACACTACAGCTCCAGCAATACAGGTAACACTATTAATCTCTACAGTACTTTCCTCTATATTCTGCTATCAGATTTGAATCCTTGTGAATGTAATTCAGCTGGTGTTTTAATTTGCCCAGGCCTAATGTATTGTAACTCTTATTTTACATCCTCACAGACAAAACACCAATCATAGTCTCCAATATATGATCCTGAGGTCCTGTTTTGTATCACCATTGTAAACAACACGTTTCAGCCCTTAGCAACATTAACCTCATTCAATAACCTCCCCCCTCCCTGTCATGTTTTCCAGTTGTCCCAATGACCCTTAGTTTGACTGCAGATTTCTTGTGTATATATATATATACACACACACACACATACACACACACGTATATATATATATATATAATATTCTGCAAACTTAACTTGGTTTCTCATGTTTCATTTACTACTTTTACTTCTTGGAGTTTTTACACTTCACTAACTTTCCTTATATTTTTCATATTTTTTTTATTAACTTTCTCCTTCGATATCTTATACTTCAAATAAGCCAAGTCTTATTTATACTTCAAATACACTTCCCTTTTTTTTTTATCAGTTAATTAAAAGACAAAAAAAACCCTTTCTTCATCTCAGTATGCTTTTCCCACTTCTTTCACTAGACTCTTATACTGTGGATCAGAGTACAGAAAGAACGTGTTTTGTTTAAAAACTGTTCTTTTGAAAACGGGGGTTTAAGATTAAGGTTTTGGAGAACAAAACTCATTTGAAGGTCCACCAAAAGCAACAGGTTAGCAAAATAACAAACAAACATGCAAACAAAACAAACGTTCAAAAAAATAAAGAAACAATGGAGGAGACTAAAAGGACAATGAAGGCTGTCTACAAAAAAATCTCAGAGATGGGTTAAATAATGCCCTGAAATCAAGGAATCCAGGTCGCCACCTTTATGGAACTCATTTCAACTAGCTGAAGAGCTGAAACCAAGTTAAAGGCAATTACAGAATTAAAGATAAAACACATACACACAACCACACCTTAGCAAAACAGAAGACAAAACAAAAATGTGCATTTTGAACTGTTTAAAATACGTTTGATGAGTAACACAAACTATCTGCGGAGGTTCAGTCTCTAGCCCCCAGCTTCAATGCTCAGCCCCCATTCCCTTGTTGGTTTCTGTAGGGAACATAGCAGTGAATTAACACACTGTTTTACTGCATGATGTGGATGTCTGCCTATTAAGTATTAGAATGAAAACCAGCCCACATAGATTTCATGTAGGACATCATCAGTCATTAAGGAAAAAGAGAATGCTCACTTCTTATTAAAATTTTCTGAACTACAATGAAAGAAATTTAATGGTTCTACACCATATTAGCAATCCCTCACATCATCTAGTCCCCCTTAGTGACAGTTTTGGAAATATATCCTGTTCATACTACTTTATTAGTCTATATAAAACATGGGATTCATCTGTTCCAGATAAATACTTACTGTTATTCTTAAACCCACTGTTTAATTAATCGTTCAAGCTAAGATTCTTAACATTTTGCAAAGAAATCCTGTGTTTAAATTATTTTATGCCCTGAGCAATACCGGGACATAACTTTTATGAACAACATACATTCCTAATTACACTTTTTTAATCCTTGATTCTCATTATGTTATTATCTATATTCTGACACTGTTCGACTAGTCAATGTACCCTAGGTATCCCAGGCTACAGAGGAAAAGCCTATTATAGATAAACTGTAGGATCTTTTGCATTCTTTTTTTCCTTAAAGGTTCCATAAGACAATTTAAAAAAAAAAAAAAAAAAAAAAAAGAGCAGGGAAGCAACCCTACCTACAATAATACAGCTTTGATTTCTTCTGCTGAAGCACACCCAGTGACTCAAGAAGAACTGCCTACTTGAGGCCTCACATTCAGTTCAGACCAATTACATTTTGAATTATTTGATATCCAACATGCCACATTCATAAGTGTAACCAGTTCAGGTACAACAGAATCTTATGGCAGTCCACCATCTGTCTTTTATAGGCTGAACTGCTTTTCATTTCACCAGCATATCCTAACATGTATGTTAGAGAGCTTGCGCTGCTGATGGTTTTTAGGATATCCCCCAAATCTCTGCTTTCATCTTCTTCTGACTTTACAAAAACAGGCACTTTCTTATTACACATAGCTTAAGCAAATCCTCCAAAAGTTTTCTCAGAAGCTATCGTGTCTTTGCCAAATATGGTTTGTACCTTCTCTGAGCTGTCTTTTCCCTCTAGTCCTACCTAACCTCCTCTTTCAGACTTTGCCAAATTATATGCCTATGTTTCTAAGGAAGAGAAAAGAAAGGCCAGTGTAGAAAACATCTGAGAATATTTTTTTTTTTTTTTTTTTGCTCAAAAAGTCCAACCTATCTGCACAGACATGTCTGTCTCCATTAGAATTGTTTGCTATCCATGTCATATGACAACAGAGCAGGAGAAGAAAATACCACACTGTACTAAAATTCTAACCTGCCTCTGCCAGGCTGGAAGTCCCAATGATACAATGCAGGTTTGACAACACTGTCTGAACACACACTGCTTCTTGGAGATCATCATAAGCTCTTATCCCAGTGCACAAAATCATTACCAGTCTATTGTAATACCAGCTTTATTTAAGCAGACTTTAAGAGAGGTGGTAAAGTAATGTTACATGAGCCTCCAGTCAACAGAGCGACAAGACAGAGTTGGGACTCTCAGACCAGCAAGATGAATATACCATGGCAATAATTATCAAGACGATAAACAGAAATTATCCAGGATTGTTCTATATGCGTTTAACTCATTTCTGACATGAGTAGGCTGGGAAAACAAATATACCATTTACTTACCTATACAAAGGTGCTTACTAAAAGCTTGATAAATATAGCTATCTTAGCAGAGACATTTATGTCTCTTATTTCATTGATATGCCTGGAAACTCATTTACTAAATGAAATTGGTATAGAACACATTATATTTTCCTTTCCTTTCCCATCACATTTTATTTTCTTTATTTGATCAAAAAAAAAGGGGGGGTGGGAAGGGGAAGGGAAGGGAGAAGGGGTGAATATAGAGCAAGAAAAAAGGAAATATGCTCTATATGGTTTTCAATCTACAGAGGAAGGGAAGACAAATTCGTGTTTTCTTTCTGGCAAAATGTATTAATATAGGATGAAAATTCAATATAAATATCAAGTCTATCTAAGACAGAAAGAAGAGATGCTGGTGCAAAAAGGGATTAAAGTACAGGTCCAATTACAGTCAAACAATAATTTTCTTACCTGGACAGGATCAGAAGGATGATCTCACTGTATGATGGCATCTTATTGTACCAGATGATAAAATGGTACAGTGCATTTCTCAGAGTGAAGGCTTTCATGGGTTGCTACACCTATTTCAGTTATGGTAACCTAGAATACAGAAAGCAACATTACAGAAACTACCACTGGATTTCAAAGAATATACCTTGAGAATAAGCAGCAAATAATTCCAGGCTTCCGCCTAAATCTCTATGTTTCCAACCAGCTGTTACCTCATTTGGTTCAGAGAAGCGAGTAGAACCGATGTGCTTTTACAAATGTGCATTAATCTAAAATTTTAACTGAAACAAAACCACTCATGATATTTCTGGCAAATCTGTGCTCTGACACAAAACTAGTGCATCAATACTAGTCACTCTTATTATCCAGACCTCAGCAAAAACCATGAAATTCACAGTGACTTTTTAATACATAAATAGTAAAATGTGAAACATGTTTGTTCGGCTTTGTAGCATCGTGTGGACTTCACACATCCAGAGCAAATTGCTCAACTAGTAACAACCTTTCTTGGAAGGTAGTATGGAATCTCAGAAAAGGACTATGCTAGAGTCAGAAGCATTGAATAAGACATTAGTAGTAGTGGCATCAGATGTCACTGCTCATATCCTAAAATTTTACACATTAATTACTTTATGACTTTATGCACTAGAGACTATATGCAGTGTTCTCCAACATGGTGCTTTACGAATCATCCTTTCAAAATACTAAGCCTTTTGAATATATTTAGATTTTGTCCTGGGATCAGTGTGTCACTGCTGTTTCCACAAAAACAAAACAAAACAAAACAAAACAAACAAACAAACAAAAAAAAAACAAAAAAAAAAAACACTTCCTCAGTCAAAATTTTCAGCCTGTATCCACTCGTTGATCAAACTGCACTCTCAACAAAGTCAACAGATGACTCTATGGGACAAAGGCTTCTTAACATACAAGCACAGTAGGTCTATAAACTATATCAGCTTTGTATACCAGCTTTGTTTTCATAGAATCACAGAATCAGAATATCCTGAGCTGGAAGGGACCCACAACGATCACTGGGTCCAAGTCCTGGCTCCACACAGGGCCACCGAAAAATCATCCCATGTGTCTGAGAGTATTGTCCAAACACTTCTTGGACTCTTGCAGTCTTGCTGCCTTGACCACTGCCCTGGGGAGCCTGTCCCAGCACCCAACCACCCTCTGGGTGCAGAACCTTTCCCTAACCCCCAGCCTGACACTCCCCTGTCCCAGCTCCATGCCATTCCCTCGCGTTCTGTCGCTGTCCCCAGAGAGCAGAGCTCAGCGCCTGGCCCTCCGCTCCCCTCGTGAGGGAGCTGCAGGCCACCATGAGGCCTCCCCTCAGCCTGCTCTGCTCTGGGCTGAACAAACCAAGGGAACTCGCGTGCTCCTTGTGACTTGCCCTCCTGACCCGTCACAACCTTTGTAGCCCTCTGGACACTAATAGTTTGATGTCTTTCTTACATGATGGCAGAGCAGAGCAGGTCAGTCCCTTCCCTTGACCGGCAGTGCAGTGCCTGATGCACCCCAGGGAAGGGCTGGCCCTCCTGGCTGCCAGGGCACGCTGCTGGCTCATGTTCAATCAACTCGCTGTCAGGCAGAACACCCAGATCCCTTTCTGTGGGGCTGCTCTACAGCCTCTCGTCCCCCAGTATGTATGTATAGTCAGGGCTCCCACATCCCAGGTGCAGAATCTGGCACTTGCTCTCGTTGAACTTCATGTGGTTGGTGATTGCATAGCCCTCTAATTAGTCGAGATCTCTCTTCAGAGATCTTTCTCTGTTCTACCATGTATACCTTTTTTTGCTTTCATCTGTTATTATCACATTGCTGATACTCAGCTGAATGGACAGCATGTATTCAAGCAGGGTTTGCTGTGGATGAATATGCTCCTGAATATGCAATGTGTGCTCTTTTACTGCTGGGTCCTTTATTAAACTACCTGAATATTAGTGGCCCGAAATTGATATGATTAAGGTTTAATGAACTACTGATTAGCACTAATGAACACAACTGAACACACATTTTATTAAATGATTTGTCTCTTTTGAAATGAAAGTAATGTTGGGCCCATTAATAAAAATTATTTGGGTCATTTCTGAGCAACTGTTGCACTCCTTGGAGAAAAAGGGTAGAAATCAGTCAGTTTGCAATCTTATTAGTATTTCAGCAGGTCTAATGCATCAGTAGTCAGGGTTCACAAGCTGTATTTTCTAGGCTCTGTAAGGCCACAGAAAAACTTGGGTAAGTTTATATGAGTGTATTTTGACAGGACTGATACATCTTTATGACCTGGCAGAATCAGAAGTTATACAGCATACAGGAGACTTTGTTCCCTAGTTCTAAGTAATAAAATGGATGTGACTGGGAGAAAGACAGTAAAATATAAAATAAAATATAGATAATTGCTTTTTCATGTTTGCGTATTTACTATATCTTCTTCTAGCCCAAAACATTCTGGAACCCAATGGTACTAACAACTACCAATCTACCACAACACACAGCACTAGTTTACAAATAGTCCAAAGTTTTAAAGACGAAAATAGTATCCAACACACTGTACAGAAAGATGAAGGGAGCAAAATGAGCAAATGTTCTCATTATGTGAGGGTAAGATGGAGATATTTTTCTTACAGAACAAAGACAAGTCATAAAATATCCATAAGTACAAGTGATGAAAACATCACTTTGGGCTTAGTGTTTAGAACCCATGCCCCATAGTATCCAAAATTATATGTTGAGTAATTAAGATATCATTCCAATTAACAAACAAGATTGTTCCCAAATAGTTGCCCACTTCCTACATTAATTCAGTTTCCCCTAGGAGGATTTCTTTCCAATTATCCAATCAGATATCAAGGAGGAAGGAGTGACAAGAACACAGCCCAGGGCAGTCATCTTCAGACACTGCATTATTTGCTAACAGGTAACATAAATAGACACTGAAAGTCCAAGGACTGAAAAATTCATTCTTTTTCTTTCTACTGCCATAAACACTAATGTTTGCAATTCCAACAGCACAATGACCCTGAAGTAAAATCAGTACACTTCTACGTGAGTCCCCTGCCATCAATATGTGTAATATTTAAGGCCCTGGTGAGAAGGAGGAACCTTAAGGAAACCAGACACACACCTATTGTGGAGTTCATAGCATAGAAAAAAATCAACTGGCACCTGTTGACTTAAAGGAGTCTTCTCTAGTGCAGAGTCATTATAGTTTTGAGATCAGTTGTCCATTGTTAAACTAAGTCCTACCGCTATCAAAAAGAACCCCATGAACACAGTCAGGGATTCAAAGAGTATTGTAATATAAACCCTCTGTATGTAAACAGCCAGATCCAACATCACTCATATATATTAGGTAGAATGAATAATGTAGAAAAATTGCAGCACAAATTGAAAGACAAATGAGACCTTTACAAGATGATTTTCATGTAATTAAGGATAGTGGGCTAAATTCTACTTCAAATTGTTCAAAAGTGGGACAAGAAGAATTTGCATGTACTTCAATGGAACTACTCTGCACCAAGAACAGAAAAACTGCTAGCAGAATTTGACCTATTGCCAGTAATGCCAGCTTAGCAAAGCAGCTATTTTTCTTTACCATGTAACAAATTAAATGAATCCACAAAGTCTCAAAATAGATTTCTTAGAAACTTGAAAAGGTTAAATGCATGAAGTAGGAGGAAAAGACAGAGCACACAGAAGTGGACACAGCCTGACCCAAAGCCTAGGGAAATCACAAAGAACCTCCCTAAGGATTTCAGTCTTTAAGTTGCTGTTAATGTTGAAGGGAGGATGTTGATGGGCACCTTTCCAATTGCATGAATAAACACCAAGGGAAGAAATTCTCCCTTTTTCTATTAATTACGGTGTTGAAGAAACACTGGGAGACTCTGCAAAGAGCTTCCCCTTGGACATGACTAAGGAAAACTGCCTAAGACCTCTATACGAGGGCTTCAAGCAATGAGACAGCTACACTAAGAGTTGGAAGGGCCTTAAAATTGCTGACAATAGGCATTGCTGCCACATTTAAAAAGCCTTGTGCAGGGTTAAGCATGCACCAGTGATGAAGGTGGGACTTCAGAGGGCAAAATCTCTCTACAGAAACCGCTGTGATCTCCTGAATGTCTCCTGTTCATTCAAGGCTCTTTTGTTTCCAGAATGACAGACTCAATAAGCTAAGAGTTTCTTCAATACCACCATGCACAATTTGTGTTTGTTGTCTTCTCACCTGTTTAAGAAGACAATCTTCCTAATTGTTTACAGAGAAAACATTCATTTTCATTTGTGGATTAAGACATCACTACTTTAAAGAGTACTAACCAAATTCAAACCCTGTTATAGAAGCCAGCTTTAATTAAAAAGAAGAAAATTAATACACGCTTTCAACTTGCACAAGTATAACTGAGAGTAGATTACAAGGGAAGAGTGTTGTTTTATTATTTAGGGTCTTCAACAGAACTACCACTACTAAAAAGCACCTGAAATAACTAACTGAATAAGTGGTTTGTTGTGAAATTTAACTTAATTAATCAAGATATCACATGAACATATGTGATGTAAGCATTATTAATGAAAATAATGTCCACGGTATGTGGCCAAAAAGCACCAATGGTTTTAAGAAACAGATATTATAAAACACTAGCATGAGGGCAGGCATTTAGTATGTGATACATCAGACATTCTAGGGTATTAAAAAACATTAGTTGTTTTGGAGCGACTATGAGAAACTTTTCTGATAATATACACTTTTTGAACAGCCTATTATTATGTACTACCAGTTCTTCTGATGGGCTTCTGCTTTGTTCTAAAGATAAAATTGTTTCTAAGACCACAGTCATGCTTAAATTGTGTAGAACATAACCCCAAACTAAGAAAGATTTGTAATAACACATCAAGACTTTTTACTCAGCCTTGTCCCTCAGAAAACTGTGTTGAAAAATGAAACTGTCACTTTTAAAGCTTATAACACTAAAGGGAGTGGCAGGATTTATGCATGTGAAACCACCGCTTAACAGGCTTGCTATCAACTTGGTATCAACAACATGGAGATGCCCATTATTTGGCAGAAAAAGGAAGTATATATTTCT